TGGTGGAAATGCCATTTCTAAAGACTTTTAAAATTAGTCCTAGGAAAGAACTATACCACGCATACTGAAGAATGAGATTCCATATTACCTTGTGATCTAATTTTCAATTGCCTGTCTCACAGATTCTATACTCTAAAGACGTTACCTAATCTAATAATCAGAATTTTATTCCATCAGAAGTACAAATTTAATAATGAAATTGTATTACTGCATGAATAATATGACATCTTAACATCAGATTCTGTGTTATACGGAGATATCATCAGTGAAACAAGAACTACAGAGCTCTTGATGTCTTAAACAGATTGGCCCAGCTCACCCTTTCTGTGTTTCTTCTTTTCCTTTCCTATACAAACTCTGATTTAAAAAAGAAACTGGGAGGTATTCAATGTTAGTTCCATACAATGCAGCTGTGGCTAACCAGAAATCTTTCATTCAGGTAAATAAGGAGTTCTAACAACATTTTATTAGTGCTGGGCAATACTCACAAGACTCTGAAGGAACAGGAAAAGTCTGTTGGCTAAGCATTTTTAAACACCTCTATCGACCCACCAACATACATCTCCTATATAACCCAGAGAATGCTGTAACACTGTATAGTTATCCTGAAAGAGAAGGTGGATGAGCTCTAAAAGAGGAACAGGATGAAGAAAGTAACAAACTGAGGAAGGTAAACATTCCAGGACTTACTTATCCTAAAGACTATCTACCACTGATTATGAATAACGTAAATCCAGGATTAGAGCAGAACATTTTAAAATGAGCCTGAAATGCTACGTGACTGCTTTGTCCTTGCAGATGGCCCAAATTCAACTGCTTCGAGATGTGAAAGATAAAGCGATGATTGTTCTCCATTTCCAAAATGAAACTATAACTCTACAAGGTTTAAGAGGTGATAGTCTGTATCACACCTCTAATTTAAACATTTTTCAAGTGTTTCTATTACCAAAATGAAAATATTTTCAGAGGCTTTAATACAGCAGTGTGAAAAGAAAAACTGAAACCAGAAAATGATCTTTTGATTCAGAAGCTGGCATTCGAACACACTCAGCCAAACTAACCTTCACATTTTGAAGACAAAGGTATACCTCCCTCTCACCCATTTCTGAAACTGTCAGGAGTTAGATTATTAACTACACAAAGGCAGCAATATAAAAAAAAATACAGAATTAAGTTGAAACCATTAATTTTTGAGGTAAAAATTATGTAGTCATAGAATCAGCTTTAATTTCTCTGCAGGATGAAAGCAACAGAGGGAACAATCACTGTAGAACCGCATGGAAATGTCTCATACTTCATCACAGCAAAAATAAACAATTAAATATAAACTAAAATAATTGCAAGGTTTTTTTCTCCTTTCTGCTGGTACACTTTTTTCCCTTCCTCCTTGTACTGTCTTTTTACTCAGCCTAGCAAGTAGTGTACCAAAAGTGCACATCTACACTACTTACTCTCACCTCATTTACATGAGGGCAATATATGCCTTAATTTATTTAAACTCAGGGAGATATTCCAATTCCAGCAAAATCAAAGCAAAGATTAAATTTAAAGGAAATATCAATCATTTTAGTATATCCAAAACCCCTTAACAGTGGTACTTGCAGGTATAAGCAAACTGGGAGACAGAATTGAGAAGAGTCTTGATGATAAAGAAACCATTTTGGAAAAAAAATGGGGAAACTTAGATTTCCATTATAATGTAGGAATGCTCACTTACATAAATATGAGATTGAAAAAAACAATCTGTTCTGCAGAGAAGGATTTGTGGGTTACAGTGAATCACTAATTGCGCATCTCACAAAGTGTGAGACAACGCTACCGTTGCTACAAGTACCATATAGCAATAAGTAAACAGGGAGTGTCACTTGGGAACGCTTGGGTAATTGTTATACTTCAGTAGATGCAAATAAAATCTCAGCTGAAATGCTGCCTAGCTTTGGGCACTGAACTTCAAGAAATATCTAGATCACTTGGAGCAAATGAAAGTAGATCAACAAGGTCTTATCCTCAACAAGGATAAGACTAATCTCCTTAGGAAACAACCCATAGAGGAAGTCTGGAGGGACTGAAGTGGTATAAAGAGAGGAAAAAGAGACAAAAGAGTACACATGACAGACATGACTGCAGCCTTCAATTACGTAGCAGGTAACTATAAAGACTGACAGAAAAGTTTTCTCCATTTCCACATCAGGCTGAAGGAGGAAGACAGGATGTTTTGACTAACAAGAGAATAACTTCCTAACGATAAGCATCAGAAGATACTGTAGAATATTTCCAGAGGGGTACATAGGGCTTAAGAATAAGACAAACAGCTGTAAAAAAATATATTTATTAATAGTTGATTCAGGTCTGTATAGGAAAACAGAAAACTCCAGTCTTCCAGTCTACACAGCAGTACTTCTTGTTGAGTGAAGAGTTGACTAACTCTGAAATGCAGAAATGACAACACTGTGCAGACGCCACGGGCACAGTGCTGTCATTTCTCCAGCTATGGCTTAGCACAGTGTTGTAGTCAATTCTACAAAGCATTATTCATATAGCAGGGGAACAGGAAATACAGTGGGGCTGTGTCACCAAATAACTACAAGCAGAAGTACTACCAAAGTAGTTCCTTTCTGGAGCAGGAATTCTGTCTTCTCCTCACCTACACAGTACCATGTATTCTCTGGTGCCATTTAACGACAATAATTGATCATCTTGCTTGATCTAGCAAAGGCCTTGGCCTTTTCTCTCCCCTTCATTCACAGTGGTCTTTATACCTTCTTTAACTTCTCCTGCAGCACCCTGGGGGTCCAGCATCCGTAATGCTAGCATCACATTCATCAGCTTCACCTGAAGCTCACCGACTATAGCCATACCAGTAAACTAAAGGGTGCCAGTTTATTCCATAAACATATTCAGGCACTGAAATTAAACAGCTGAACTCTTCATTTTGACAAACAGTTAAAACACTCTTGGAACAACTTTGTGCGGCCAGCTTCTCTCCCAAACAACTCAGGCACAGCTTGGCAGTTCCTGTGGGACAAATGCCATTCCCAACAGGCAACTTCAACCCACCCTCTGCACCCAGCAGGCAGACAGCTTAATGGTGAGGACGTGGGTCATCTCATGTCAGCTGGCCTCGGTGTCAGAGGGCAATCTGAGACACATTTAACGTACTGCTACAGCCATACCCTTTGTCCTGAGAGGCCCCAAGTAAGGAAATCATTTAAAATGGCAGCTAGAATATAAGCTGCTCCACGCAGCAACTGTTTATAAACAGACAGAAATGATACATTCTCTCTGTTTCTTCACGAGTGGACTCTTCAGAATGAAGTAATTCTTTTAATCATTTCAGACCCCAGTTCCCACCACAGGAAGAGGAAAAAGCCGGTGACTGCATCTCTGTCTTGGACAGTTAGGAACTCTACTCGTACAGTGTCTAGCTCACATCATTACTCTAACCTGAGTAAAAATCACATATTTTTAGTCATAAAAATAGGAAAGCAATTAATCTAGGTCACTCAATCAATAATACACATTTTTTTTTTTAAAATATATATCTTTTTAGACTCTGAAGGTGTGATTTGAACCCACAAAGCCAAAGACATTCCAGCTAAAACTGGTATTTCATAAACACAATTATGCCTTTTACTTTAAGAAATGATTTGAGTTAAAGGTGAAATAGTAACGCTCGCTCCAAGTTTCCTTAGGATTTTGTTACTTTAGACTAAATGCTTTACTTCACATAAGGTTTCTTGTGTTGAATTGTAGTACAACTGTTTACTCAAGTGGCAGCAACATACTCTGTGATAAATTAAATGGACATTTATCAAAGGCAAGTTGACAGGTTTAAATGTTAAACGTAAGCATTGAGACAAGTACAAATAGTTTCTACCTGGAGGTTACGTATCCAAATCACTGGATAGATATTTTAATTAACTTCTGCACAATAAAGAACATTTGCTTCTGAATTATTGAAGAACATTTCCTGAGAGAGGAAGATACAAAATGCCATGGAATAGATTTTTAAGTAGTGTTTACATATAAATAAAAATTTAAAAATCCTTCTTCCTATTCAACACAGACAAGAAAAAGACAAATATTGTTTAGAAACATAAATCTTGGGGTCAAGATTTAAATTTAAATTAAACAAACAACTTAAGAGAGTTCCATCAGACAAAGGCATAATACACAGGTAGAGGAGTTTTCATTACTGTATCTTATTTTATTGTAATACATTGAGTTATGATCTAATAACACAAACATGTAGTCACCTCAGGTTCTGAGGGAATTCTGAGAAAACCTAAAAGATGAAGACATCTTTGGTAGGAACAAATTAGTTAATACACTTCTCTCATTTCTTAAACCAATCTAGTCTTCTTGCCCTACTGACAGTAATTCTTAAGGCAACAAGCTGGGAAACAGAAGCAAGCTGCAAACCCACAGGAGCACAATGGTAAGTGCCTTCTCATCAACACCTTTCAAATCACTGAAGCATTTGGACACTTAAAATATTAATAAAAACTAAAAGGTTTTACTCACAGTTAAAACCAGGTTCAATAGTTTTTCCAGCTTCAAGACTGTTTATTGTAATCTGAAAGATGATGTGCAGCAGCAGAAATGATAGACTGGTGAAACACAGAGATTTTAATAATCGTCCCGTATGCCCTAAAAGACAAAATATACATACATATAGTTGGTGAATTTCTAAACATTGCTTAAATATTTTCAGTATAAAATCAGTAAAAATATCCTGACCAAAGATATTTCTACAAGTCAGTTTCACGTTACTCATGATTGCCCCTTAAGGGTCAACATCATAGCAAAAAGCATACTTAAATTACAGTGTCTTTGAGTACTCTTTAATCATAAACTCCATTTATTCTTATTGCTGAAATTTTCTTTTAGTTTTTGGTTAAAAAAACCCATTTAAGTCTCCGGATAGCAATTTTACATCATTAACAACATCCCGATGCTTATTACCATGTTATCTGGTACAAAGACAAAATACGGATGATACTTCCAATCTTGAGAAAATAAAAAACTGTTAATCTAATTACTCTTTCTAAAACAAATTACATAGGGGGGAGAGGGGGGATAACAACACAAAAACCTCAGTTTGGCTCAGGAGTATAGACATACTTTCAAATGAATGTTTTGCTTTGTGCACACTGCCCTCTTTCTCTTCCTTTAGAAGTTTTTGGAAAAATTTTCAGTACACACCGAAGAATCCTGTGCCAGATACACTTGGTCATAGTTCCTCTATGATTTACTGGATATCTATAGCCAAAAGCCAATAGAAAATGTTTGATGAAGACTTCAAAAATTCTTTATAAATCCTCTAGGAAACACTCAGCTAATCACAGGCAGCCAAACTTGCAAGGTATGAATAAATAAAGTAACCCATTAGTATTTCAGAAAATATGCACCTTCAAGACGAAGTTGTATTGCTGATAAAAGACAACATTAAATATCACCCTACCTGACCTATATGCAGCAAAAGTTCTATTTCCAAAGCATTTTATATCTAGATTTTACACTACCTGCTTCATGCATTTGAGGATCATTTTTTATTTACAGATTAAAAAACAGCAGTGCTGGAATTCTTACCCAAGGTTACAAATAAAGCCAAGATTATGGAGGGCAAAACTAGCAGAGTATACCTGGGAAAGGTTCACTCTACATGCAGCTTGTTTCATTCATACTAATTCCACATGTGTCTGTTACGAGCATCTACTAGACATAAGATGATGGTTCTTATCCTGTATCTAGCCAGTAAATCAGCTTTTTGTTTTATATTTGTTATAGTTCAAGCATGTCATTGATGGTCCAAATGGTAGTTTATAAAGCAAAGAATCAGATAAACATGATTCAACAATTTTAGAAAAAGTTATACACTATTAACTCCATCAGACTCAAAACCTTTGTTGTATGATCACTCTCTTGACTGCAGACTTTGAATACCAAATGCCTGTAATGAACTTCGTTATTTTTTTTTTAAAGACATTAAACAATTCAAACAAACAAAAAATGACAATAGCAAACCTACATACGAATTTCTGTGATCTGAAAAGGAAGCTACATTCACTAAATACGTGCTTTGTATGAGCTATTCACTACTCATTACTGGTAAGACACCAGAGTCCACACAGAAAGGAGATAACCTGGGCTGCAGAGCATTACAGAAAAAAAAAAAAAAAGATCAGATTTTAAATTCTTTGTATCAGAGGCCATTTTTTGCTTCTCTTCTACAGAAGCTGGCCTGGTGTCCTGGCTTAGGACAACAACTTCTAAGCACTGAGAAAGCATGAATAACAAAATAACTCATATTTTCAAAATCATTAGAAGAAGGAATATATGACAAGCTACATGTTATTAAATCATTCATTACATGTGATGTCATATGTAATGCAATCCAAGGGCTGCTAGCTTTTACAGTTTTTTTGGCATGTTTCAGTATTTGATGGCTTGTTCCTGCATTACCAGGTCCCATACTCATGGTATTACAAGAGCTGCATGTTCAGAATATACTGAAAAATTACATATCTCAAAGCTGGAGACAAACAGTTTGACCACACAAACTCCATGGACCTAACAACTGTGTTAAAAAGTACAGATTTAAAAGACAGTCTGGTGATTTCTGAAGTTCTGAGTCACAAACTCCTCAGTGCATGGGAGCTAACAATTCAATAGGTATCAAGCACTGAATTTTTCATATAGAAGTGGATTTGGAAGTTTTTTCATAGAATTGTTTCAGTCAGTCTCCAAAGGAGAAAAACAAGCCACACAATTAACCAACACATGTTCACTTCCCAAACTATTTCCACATAAAAAAATAAAACTATCAAAAATCTTGGGTCCATCTTTCAATAATTCAGATGCCATATCTCTCCAAAATGTATCTCGATTTTAGCACTCATTTTTTAAAGCTTGAAAAGAAACATATTTAAATCACAGATTGAACAAAGCATTTCTTTAACAAAGCCTCAACTTTTGCAATTGTCTTCCTTTTAGGAACTGTAGAAAATGTTGAAAATATATTTCTTGAATGCTAAAATGTTGAAAAAAGATCTTCCGCACAAAGCTAGGGAAAATTTTAAAGGACTGTTAACACCCATGATAATAAAGAGTGTCTCAGTGTACTGGTAAATATGGCAGGGGAAACACACAGCTGGAAGACAGGTAGACATGTTCAGTGCAGGTTACAGCATTCCTCAAGGGCTGCTCCCTTCATGGCCATCAGTGGGACAGGACCATCATCAGATCCTACCAAGCAGAAGCCCTTTGCCTGCACTGTATTCAGCTGTGCCAGCAGGAACTAGACACAAGAAGTATTTGGAGAAAAGTAAGAAATACTGTGCCCCTGACTTCAAAAGTTTTGGAGCGACATCAACAACTTGGGAGAAATGGGAGTGCTAAAAATCAGTGAATTACTGGATATGTAATTTATGCCAAGAAAGAAGTGACAGATTTGGATAAGGGATGAGCTTCAATTTATAGTGGGCTTTGGATAAACCCATTTGACTGTATTTTTACTTACATTTTTTTCTTTCTACTGGAAACTTAGTTTTAAATTACACAAAGAAAAAATTAACTGTATGTATACAGAACTGAGATGGTGGGAAAAGAGACAGCTAAAATTAAACTCCTGAAATAAAAGAGAGCTTCTTATGAGGAGGAAGAAAGATTTTTGTCATCCTTCTTTAATTTTTATTTATTTTAATTCACTCACAGTCACAATCCTTTTGCTAAAACTTACCTTAACCATCCAGTTGCCCTAATGTGAAAGTCTTTGGGGACATGAACGAAAGCTGACTGTCCCACAGAGAAGGAAATACATGTTGTTCACAAACCTGCATGGACAGAACTGATAGGCGACAGATCACCCCAGCCCACACCAGAAATCACAACACTGATTCCTTCATTTTTGTCTTAGATGTATAGACTCATGTAAGTACATCAAAAGTAAAATAAGAAAAATCTTCTGACAAACACGTGAGGTCATAGCTTGAGTGCTGGGTTATGATTTTACTCACACCAGTGTGGCACCACCAGCTTCAGTAAATGGTGGTGGATGGAAACGAGAGAGCAGATTTGTCTCAGAACTGGCCTGAAAGACTAAGAAAAGTGGGTTTGCTTTCAGGTGGTGTGTCATTCCTAATGGCACCCAGTGGGACCAAAATCTGGCATGTGGCTTGAGAAATGTACGCCGGTGTGTCTCGGAAACACACAGGGAAGGTTGCTCCAGCCTCCACGTGTCAGCACAAGGCTCCTGGGAAAGGACTTTCTCCCCTTCAACTGAGCCTGCAGGAAGCTGCTCAGAATGCAAAGGCTTCATTAGCCTCTTTCTCTCCAGCCCAGCTGTGACACTAAACTGGACTCAAGAGGGCCAAAAGTTTTTCACACATGGCAGAGGAATCCATTTCTTATTTTTCAAAGGTAATCCAGCCAAGAGCTGGCTTAGTGACGGCATGTCCCCCCCCAGCCACAGGCATGTAACCTCAGTACAAGTAATTATTTGAATGTGCCTGACTAGCACTGCTGCCTGCAACAAGCACATGCACCTCTTGACTGCCTACATCAGGACTGTATGCAAAGGTGGTGCCTGCTGCTCACGGTACATTCGTGTTTAGACAGGCAGTCCTGTGATCTTTTCTGCTACCCCATTCCCTAAAACAGCAGAGTATGACAGAATTCATTTTTTTTGTGCACCTGGAACTTCCTAAGAGCTTCTTCCAAAAGGGTGTGCTAATAAGACATCAAATAACTGAACGGCCAATTGTCACCGAGACCTGCTTTAGAATCACAAATATTAGTTTTTACAGTATAATCTGACCCAGAGCCTTAGGTTATTGCGAAGAGCTTATCATATTATATTATATCATATCTTATTTCCAGTTGCTTGCAAGGTATCTTTTCATTCCACACATTTTTTTTTTTCTCGTTCTGATCTATTGGATGGCGCACAACACAAAATTGGCTGAGTCTCTAACAAAGTTAATAATACTGCTAACAATTTATTCTGATTTTTTAATAAGAAAACATCTATATGCAGAAGATGACAAGTTCTAAGGGTCAGTATCCATTCTCCATGCCATAATGATATCAGGAAAGGGAAAACAGAGGAGGAAAATAACAGGTTCTAAAAAATAATTTAAGACCGTTTACTCTTCCAACAGTGTAATTCCTTCATTATGCTCATACGCATACTGCATGGCTTCACTTGAACAGTAGATTTAAGAGTGTCTAGGTGTTTTATTTGAAGCTTTTATTACTTTCCACCGGGATTATTTTTAAGTGCAGCCTTAGTGTTGCATTTTGCAAGTTTACTGATGACACCAAGCTGTGTGGTGCGGCTGACACGTTGCAGGGAAGGGATGCCATCCAGAGGGACCTTAACAGGTGGGCCTGTGCAAACCTCATGAACTTCAACAAGGCCAAGTGGTTTCCCTCAGCGGTCTGTACTGGGACCAGTGCTGTTTAATATTTTCATCAATGACACAGACAGCGAGATCAAGTGCACCCTCAGCAAGTTTGCAGATGAAAACAAGCTGACACACCTGTGCAGCTGACACACCTGAGAGACAGGATGTCATCCAAAGAGACCTGGACTAGCTGGAGAGGTGGGCCTGTGTAAACCTCATGAGGTTCAATAAGGCTAAGTGCAA